TAAACTACATTTGAGTCCTGATTAGTCCCTGGACTTTGCACACATGGAAGAATGCCTCAGACCTGGGAGAAAGCAGAACTGAGTGGAGATTTCAGCTGCTTACAATGGTGCCAGAGTTTGAAGCTGAAGACCTACCACGTTACTTGACCCTGAGAACAACAATCAACACTCTGCAGGAAAAGATGACAGAATCCAGAATATTGAAATGCAAAATTTATAATGATCAGTATAGAATAAGATCACTTGACATTAGAAGAAACAGGAAAGTGTGGAGCACAGACAAGATAAAAAGCAGTAAATAGAAACCAACCACATGACTCAGATGTTTGAATTAACGGACAAGCTCTTTTAAAGCTATTGTAAATATTTTCATGGACTGGAAGAAAAATATGTCATAATGAATGAACAGATGGGGAATCTCAGCAAAGAAATGGAAACTATAAAGAGGACCAAATGGAAAATGTAAAACTGAAAATACCGTGTTTAAAATGAAAAATTTGAACTGGATGGGCTTAATATTAGCTTGGAAACTACAAAAGGAAGGGCTAGTAAATGTAAAGAGAGATCAATAAAACAGGGAAAAATTAAACAAAACAATGAAAAACCAATAGCCCAGTGACCTGTGGAAATATATGAAGCAGCCTAAAATGCATGTAATTGAAGCAACAGAAGAGGGGAAAAAAAGAAGTCAGGGGGCAGGAAAAGTATTTGAAGACGTCATGGCTAAAATTTTTTCAAAATTGGTGAAAAGTATAAACTTAAAAATCCAAGAACCTCAGCAAATCCCCAAAAGAATAACTGCAAATAAAACCACAACTAGGAACCCTATAGTAAAACTGCCGAAATCTAGATACAGAGAACATCTTGAAAACAGCTTGAGAAAATGGACACATTAACAGGGAACCATGATGCATGTACTTGCTGACAATGATACATATAACTGTTTCTTATTAGAAACAATGGAGGCCAGCAGACATTGATGTAACTCTGGCAATCCAGTGTTCTACAACCAGTGAAAAGGACTAAAAAATAAAGGCAAAATTTTAAAAAATTGCAGGCTTGATGATTCATCAAGAAACATTTATCAAAAGAAATATTTATCAAAATATCAAAACATTTATCAAATGACTACATTCATCGTCATCAGGGAAATGCAAACTAAAACCACATAATCCAGCACTATGCAACCATGAAACTCACACATTTTTATTGGATAAGGTCATATGACAAGTTCTGGCTAATGGGTTGGGAGCAAAAATGACCTCTATCACTTCTGGGCTGGTTTATTTAATTGTTGCAAAGCCATCAGGGTATTCTTTCCCCCTCTGGTATGATAACTTGTATCCCTTGAGATGGTGGCTAATTCATTCACACTCAGCAGATTTCCTGAGTGATTATGATGTACGGAGCTTCCCTTTCAATCCTAAGGATGGTTGTTCATTTTATATGTCAACTTTCACTGGACCATGCAGAACCCAGCTATTCGGTTAAACGTTGTGTTTCTGGAAGAGAATAACATTAGAATAGGTAGACTAGTAGAGAAGATTGTTCTCCTCCACATAAATGGGCCTCATCTCATCCATTGAAGGCTTGAATATAATAAAAGGCTGAGTAAAAAAGAATTTTTTCTTTTCTTGACTAACTCTGAGCTGGGACATTGGTTTTCTCCTGCCTATGGACTTGGACTGGAATTTGTACATTGGCTCTCTGGATTCCAAGCTTACTGACATCAGATCTTGGACTTCTCAGTCTCCAAAATTATGAAAGCCAATTCCTTATAGCAAACCTCTCTCTCTCTCTCTCTCTCTCTCTCTCTCTCTGTCTGTCTTCTATTGGTTGTGTTTCTCTGGAGAATCCAGACTAATACAGATTTTTTGTATTGGGAAGTGGGATGCTGCTGTAACAAATACCAAGAAAATGTGGAAGCAGCTTTGAGACTGGCTATGGGTAGAGGGTGAAGGAGTTTTGCAGTGAATGGTAGAAATATGGATATTAAGGGTAATTCTGGTGAGGGCTCAGGAAAAAAAAGAGAACTGGAGAAAATTTTCCATCTTAGAGAGTATGTAAATAATCATGAAGAAAATGTTGGTAGAAATATGGATGTTAAAGGCCATTCTGATGATTCTCATAATTGGTTCTTCAAAGCAAAGGAAGAATGACCCTGAAGGGCACTCAGAGCCTTACGGATGGGGTCCCTGCCCAGCAGAGTCTGGGGGGCATGAACCTTGAGGATGTGATCACTACTCAGCAGAGCCTTGGAAATGGGAGCCCCGCCTAGCCCAGAAATGAAGGTGAGTCTGCTACTCCCATGGGTCCAGAAGGCAGAGCATCAAACCAAGAGGATTGTTCTTAAAACCTAAAGTTTGATGGAGTTTGCTTTGTTATATTTTGGATGGACTTGGGGCCCATCATTCCTTTTTCCTTCTGATTTCTCCCTTTTGGAATGAAATGTCTATCCCACACTAATCCCACCATTATATTTGGGAAACCATTAATTTATGTGGTTCTATGGCTTTACAGCTGGAGGGGAATTTTGCATCAGGTTAAATTGTACTTCAAGTTTCACCCATAACTGATTTTGATGATATTTTAAATGTTAGGCTCCAGAGTCAATGCTGGAATCAGTTAAAACTTTTGAGTTGGTTGGGATAGAAGGAATATATTTTGAATGTAAGAAAGACTTGAATTTTGAGAGACTAAGGGACAGAATATCATAAACTGAATACTTAGGTCTATGATAATGTATATGTTGAAGCCACAATCCCCAAAGTGACGGTATTTGGAGGTGGGGCTTTTGAGAGTTGATTGGATTTAGATGAGGTGATGAGGGTGAGTCCCACATGGTTGGATAAGTGTCCTCATAAAAAGAAAAAGAGGGAAAAGAGCTCTCTCTGATTGGTGAGGACACATGTGCAAGCCAAGAAGAGGTCTCTCACTAGGAGCTGATTCTGCCTGCACCTTGACCTTGGACTTTCCAGCTTCCAGAACTATGAGAAATGAAATAATTGTAGTTTAAGCCACCCAGTCTGTGGTACTTGTTATGGCAGCCCATGCTGGCTAAGACAATGGACATGACTATAATGAACTTTTGTTCTTTAATTCAGTGATATTTTTAGGTTATTTGTTACTTCAACCTAACCTAGCCTGATATGATAAAATGGTTGTGAGACCTGATTTTGGTTGTCTATATTCCCTTCATGCATTCAGGTTCAGAGCATAATTTTTTACTACACTACCAGTGTTATCCTGCTACATCATTAACAGGTTGTATAAAAACTATTGTCTGTTGGTGTATTATAACTATGGACAGTTGATTGCTATGTGGTTATACCCAACAATTGTCTCGTGATATAAGGCTTGGGAGAGACTGAACATCAGTTTCAGCCTGGCTAGGAACTGTCTCAGAGATTAGCCCTCTCACTGTTTATTGTGAAAATAGGTTATCATACTTTTTATATGCTCTGATAAGTTTACTCCACTGACTCTGGTAATTCTCAAATGAATCATAAAATTCAAGTATGCCAATTCTATTATTATTTTTCTCTAAATTGTGTGGTTCTACTTGATGTCCTTCCATATTTTGTTCTCTGTTTTAGTAATTTTCCTCAATATAATGTAATAAATGATATATATATATATTTAAAAGTGGCTACATCTTTCTAAGGCTTTATCTTATTGGCAGAAATTAATTTAAGTAGGAGCATGTATTATTTAATGTGTTAGTTTGCATACTTAGTGTAAAAATTAGAACTAGGAATTAAGAAATTTTTAACCTTATGTGCATGCTTCAGAAGCAATCTGTTTGCCTGAAATATTGTTGAAAGTAGTTAAAATATTTGTAGCAGTTGAGATTTCCACTTTGACTTGCCAGAAATTAAAAGAAAAATGTTTTCTACTAAAGCCAAAGCTCAAATCATTTCAAAAATCCCAATAAAAAACTCTTTTTGCATTTATCATACGACTTAATGTGACACAACAAAATGAAATATAATTCCATTTTCTCTTATTTATTCTACCATGTCACAGTATATCACATTAAACTGATTTTTCTTGGAAGAAAAGCTAACTTCTGAAGTATTTATGGTATGAACCAATAATTACTATGTAGCATCACAAGGCTACTTCTGTCCTGACTTTGGAATTTTGAAACACCTTTTTCTAAACTTCAGAGAGGCTAGACCAAATTCTGTCTTATAGGACACTGGGGAACACGGAAGGGTCAGCACCGCAGGGGCTTGTGATGTTCTGTGTGATACTTGGCATGGAAAGGGATAGTGCAGGTCCCTGAGAGGCCAACTCACTGAGTATCCATTAAAAAAGGGGAAGGGCCCTCCAAGGTCTTCTCACGCAGTGTGCCCTGGTTCTCAGCTTCAATGATACCTTAGGTGGACGGATTAAAGTTATTTATTGAACAGAAGTACACCTACATTTCCCTTTTAACGTCAAAAAGGTGCTCTTGAAGAGTCTGTTGTAGGTAGTGTTCTGTGCCACTGTGGTTTTGATATTTGGAACTTTTGAGTATAACAAGGGGATGCTATTAGTAGTAATGCCAAATAACATGCATCACCTTGGACTTTAAAATGCCAAATGAGGATGTATGTACACATTTTCTCATTGAATTTTAAACTAATTCATAAATAAACATAATTATACAAATAATACAAAATACACACAAAATAATGCAAAATACAAAAATTATTAAATAAAGAAAATAATTACAGAGGCATTTAAGCTTCATTTAACTTTACACTCTGATTTAGTGTTTAGCAAATATGTGTGCAAATTTATATGGCATTTCTGTAGTAGAAGCTGTCCACTGACCTCTTTCTTATCTGTGCGTCCTTCTCCTGTCCCCACCTTCATATTTACTTGCATTCATATCTATCCTTAGCACATTTTTTTTTTTCTTTATCCTCACCCGAGGACATTTTTGCATTTTTTGTTCAGACAGAGCGGGAGGGAGAGAGACAGAGAAACATCGACGTGAAGGGACACATCGAGTGGTTGCCACCCGCAGACCAACCAGGGCCGGGGACAAACTGCAACCGAGGTACGTGCCCTTAGCAGGAACCGAACCCGGGTCTCTCTGTACCGCAGGCCAATGCTCCAACCGCTGAGCCAAACCGGCCAGGGCTATCCTTAGCACATTTCAATCTCAGTAGCAGGAGTAGACTTTCAGACTGAAGCTACTTTCTTCCTAGAGCCTGTAGATTAAGTTCTTTTCATACCTCCTTAGGACCTTACTTGATTAATTGTATCCCAAGGGTCGGGGAGTTTTACGGAAGGTACAAATCTTGGTAGTATTAGCAAACTTTCAACTAAAAATTGAGTGCATGTTCTCCATTTTCCTTGTTGCTTGAGAGTGAGAGGTGCTCTCGCTTGGCATTCAACTCCAGAGGTCACTGCAAATGGACCTCTTCCAGGACTCAGCTTTTCTGGACCAGCTGCAAAAGCAACGCTGGGGTCTGCTGACAGCTCGTCTCTCTGAATGTTTTTCTTCAGCAGTTCTGGACTATTGATGGTAGAGAATTGTCTATAGAGGGAGAACGGAAAGCTTCTTAGCTCATTTCTCACCATCCCAAACACATGTTTTAAAAAAACTTTCTTGCTACTCAGCCATAAGAAAAGATGAAATGCTGTCACGTGCAACTACATGGATGGATCCTGAGAATATCATGCTAAGTGAAATAAGTCAGACAGAAAATGTTAAGAAGCATATGATTTCACTCATGCGTGGGATATGAAACAAACAAACAAGAGCTCAGACACAGACAACAATATGGTGGGTACTAGGGGGAAAGGGATGGTGGGGAGGCAGTAAAGCACAAAGGGGGTCTGATATCTGTTGGCAAATGGAGACCTGACTTTGGGGGGGCGGGTCAAGCATACCATGCAACATATAGATGATATATTACAGAACTGTACACTTGAAACCGATATAACTGTATTAACCAATGTCACCCCGATACATTTAATAAAATTTTTTAAAAGAAAGTAAAAATATTCTTTCTCTAAATCTGAATCTTATTTAGTTTTGGGTAAAACAGTATAATACAGAGAGGGGCATAAAATAAGCAAGCAATTAATACAAAATAAACACAGACACACATATTTGAATCTCATAAACTATCATTGAGAAAAGGGCAGCAGGTCACACATTGGTTTTTGCAACCACACACACACACACACACGATTATTACTTTCAGCAGGCTCATATTCACATAAAAAATGAAAACAATATTTGTATTGTAATTAAATCTAAGAGGGATAACAATCTCTAGAGAGATTTATCATAGCCAGACACTTTTAGTAATCTTTCCTTCTAAGTATCAGTGAAAACAAAAGAATATTTTTTATTGAAATAAGAACAATCTCCAGCACAGTGTGTGCATCAATAAATCAACACACAGCAAGTGCAGATGAGGATGTGGAGAAAAGGGAATCCTTGTGCACTCTTTGTGGGAATGCAGACTGGTGCAGCCATGGTGGAAAACAGTATGGAGTTTCCTCAAAAATTAAAAACGAAACTGCCTTATAACCCAGCGATTCCACTTCTGGGAATTTATCTGAAGAACCCCAAAACACATTTGAAAGAATATATGCACTCCTATGTTCAGTGCAGTGTTATTTACAATAGCCAAGATTTGGAAGCAGTCCAACTCCATCAGTAGATGAGTGGATAAAAAAACTGTGATACATTTAAACAATGGAATACTACTCGGCCATAAAAAAAGAAGGAAAGTTTACCCCTTGTGACAGCATGGATGGACCTGGAGAACATTATACTAAGGATATAACTTAGCCTGGCTGGTGTGGCTCAGTGCATTAAGTGTCATCCCAAGGACTGAGAGGTCCCGGTTTGATTCCTAATCAAGGCACACGCTGGGGTTGTGGGCTTAATCCAAAATTTGGGGTGTGCAGGAGGCAGCCGATCAATGTTTCTCTCTCATATCGTTGTTTCTATCCCTGTCTCCCTACCTCTCTCTCTAAAAGATCAATAAAAATATATTTTTTAAAAAAGAAAAAGAAATAACCCAGCCAGAGAAAGACAAGTACCACATGGTTTCACTCATGTGGAATCTACTGAACAAGCTGAACTAAGAAGCAAAATAGAGACAGACTCATAGAGAGAGAAGGCTGACAGCTGTCGAGGGGTTGGGGCTGGGGAGGTGCTGGAATAGAGCAAAAGAGGAAAAAAAGAGAAAGAACTCATAGGCATAGGCAACAGTGTGGTGATTGTGGAGGAGGGTGTAGGAGGATAAATGGTAATGGAAAAAAAGAATAACCTTAAGTGCAATTATAGTTTAGCGGGATAAAGAGTGTGGAAGGAAAAGATTGAGCAGGGCACTGAGGATGTTTGAGAAAAGGAGCATGAGAAATTGAAAACAAAGACCATGCAAATAATTATTTTAATATAATTTAGAGCTGGAATAAGGATATTAATATTTGCTCATTGAATACCTGATCTAGTGCTCGATTATATTTTAGATGCTGTTTTCTTTAATAATCACATTAACCCTACAAGGTAGATATTATTTATTCCATTTTTATATTTGACAAGCTGAGATTAAGAGAAAAAAAAATAACTGAAATGACACAGCTGGTTGGTGGCAGGATCTGAGTCTAAATCTCTGACTTATGATCTGTGTTTCTTCCCTTTCACAAGAAGACGGGTAAAATGAACAGAGAGCTAGGGATTGGCTTCCTTGGTCATCTCCAAGCTCCTTCCCGCTCTGACTTTCTACTTGAACTTTTCTTTATTTTTTTCAAGATTATCTAATCAATAATTATATAATGTAATACTATAAGGAGCAATTTTAGATTCACTGAGAGCATTTTAGAGGATGTAATTCATTGGGCAGTCCCATGTTTAATTTTTGGATCTAACTCCATACTGCTTTCCACAGTAGCTGCATCAGTCTGCATTCCCACCAACAGTGCACAAAGGTTCCCTTTTCTCCACATCCTCGCCAGTACTTGTTGTTTGTTGATTTATTGACAGTAGCCATTCTGACAGATGTGAGGTGATATCTCATTGTGGTTTTAATTTGCATTTCTTTGATGATCTGTGACATTGAGCACTTTTTCATATATCTATTGGCCATCTGTATATCCTCTTTGGAGAAGTGTCTATACAGGTCTTTTGCCCATTTTTAAAAATTGGATAGTTTGTCTTCTTGATGTTGAATAGTATAAGTTTTTTATATACTTTAGAAATTAACCCCTTGTCAGATGTATCATTGGCAAATATGTTCTTCTATTCACTGAGTTCCCTTTTCATTTGTTGATGGTTTCTTTTGCTGTGCAAAAGCTTTTTAGCTTGATGTAGTCCTATTTATTTATTTTTTCTTTTGGTTTTCTTGTCCTAGGAGATATATCATCAAAAATATTGCTAAGAAAGATGTCTAAGATTATGCTGCCTATGTTTTCTTCTAGGATTTTTATGGTTTTGTAACTTACATTTAAGTTTTTAATCTACTTTGAGTTTATTCTTGTATATGGTGTAAGCAGTATTATTTACAATAGCAAAGATCTAGAAACAGCTCAAGTGCCCATCAGTAGATGAGTGGAATAAAAAGCTGTGGTACATTTACACAATGAAACACTACTTGACTGTAAAACAAAACAAAACAAAACAAAAAAAGGAAATGTTACCTTTTGCACAGCATGGATAGACCTGGAGATTATTATGCTATGTGAAATAATCCAGTCAGAGAAAGACAAATACCATATAATCTCAATTATATGTGGAATCTAATGAACAAAATAAACTGATGAACAAAACAGAAACAGAGACATGGATATATGGAACAGACTGATAGCTGTCAGAAGGGAGGGGGGTTCAGGGGCTAGATGAAAGAAGGTGAAGGGATTAAGCAAAAAACAGCAACAACCCAAAAACAACCTCAATATATAGTGATAACACATAGCAATGACACAGACAGCAATGTGGTGTCAGCCAGAAGGAAAGGGAGGTGTGGTAGGTGGAGCTGGGCAGAGGACGGTGGGATGGAATGGGAAAAGAGACTTTGTTGGGACAGTGGGTCACAATGCAGTGTGTAGATGATGTTTTGTTGAGTTGTACACTTGAAACCTGTATAGTTTTGTGAACCTATGTCACCCCAATAATTAAAAAATAATAATAAAAATAAAAGATGTCATTCCAATCAACAGTTAATTCTATCGCAAAATCCGATTTCAAGTATAAATTAGTGTCATCTTTCATACTGATAAATTGAGAATCTAAACATCAAAAAATTTACAGTTTTCTAGTGAATTAGATAAGTTGTAGATAGATTTAAAAAAAACCCTTTTTATAATTTCAACTTTATTTCTCAATTTTGATAATCATTATATTTCTTACTATGTGTTATATGAACTAAGTCATATTTTTAAAAAGTTTTGAGAGCCTGGAATTTACTTTTTGAACTCAAAACAATGTCACATTTTTGCTGGAGGAAGGATTATGTAAGCACATGCTATTTTATTTTTCTAGCCCTTGTACAAGTGTTATTGGTGAGAATGGATAAAGGAGACCTCCAATTGTAACATGAATGCTTGTGGCCCACGCAGAGTGTATTGCTAGCATCTTCTGGGTAGAAAAGGGTTACTGACCCCATGAGAACTTGCCCAAACTTCCCATTTTCTGAAGCAAGGTCTGTGATTTCTAAATAACTGGATTCTGCTTTAATCTAGCATTCCTGCAGGAGCACATCATGATATCTCTAATTTACTGATCATGCCTTTTATTCAGTTTACTAGATACTGAATAAGCTTCAGATATAATTGTTTTTCAAACTTGCCTTTGGCCCTGGCCCTGGCTCAGTTGGTTGAACATTATCCTGTGCATCAGCAGGGTAGGGACTCGGGGGAGGGTTGCCAGAGTGGTTCCATTCAGGGCACAGACCCAGGTGACAGGTGTGATCCCTGGTCAGGGCATGTTTAAGAGGCAGCTGATCAATGTTTCTCTCTTACATTGATGTTTCTTTCTCTCTCCCTTCCTCTCTCTTTGAAAAATCAATAAAAACATATATATTTTTTAAGAACTCATCTTTCAACAACAAGCATAGTCTAAAATTATGTAAAAAGAATTTTGTATCATTAGTTCACCACAGTCTCTAAAGACAATGATGTGGTTCATTTTTGTGGAATTACATATGAGTGTAAATACATTAATTTTTATCTATATCTGTGTACAGTAAAAATTACTCATCCATTGCTGTAGATGCTAGAGAGCTGGGGACTTAATCTTTTTACTACAGACTGGACGTGTGCCCTGGGCAGTTTAATAAAAGCCTCTGAGCTTACAAGGGTTCCATGTGGGGTTGTTGAAAGTATATGGGTCTGAGCCAAGGTCAATCTCTTGTCCTTCCCCCTCCTTGAGCCTTGTCAAATGCTATGCACTTTTCCATTTCTATGTTTTGGATGTCACTGATCCTTTTCTTTGGAATGTCTTCTCCTCTTGCCAGAACCCTACGCATGATTTCTTTTAGAGTATCAAAAAGAAAGGATATGCTCCAATGAGAAAGTAAAAACTGTACATGGATCATTGGAAGATGATAGGAAGTTATCCAGGCATTAGGCCCTGAAATGATTGCATTCAATGATCAAATACTCACAGAACAATTACCCCTGTCATACACTGATCAGAAGCCACAGCTGGGAAACCAAACACTATCCCAGACCTCATGTTGCTTGCAGGGTAGTGTGGGAGACAAGTGAATCAATAAGAAGTTTATGTAGTTTCCTCTGTGGAGTCTTAAAGGATGGTATAAATCCTTT